AATCATCTTCCTCTCCACACTGGCAATCTTTCATCCGATGAGCCATGTGGAAGTTAGAGCAATATGGAGTTTCGTTCTGGTTCTCACAGTTGCAGTAAGACTCTCCTGTCACAGGTATAGCTGTGGGGATGGAAGGCAACTGAGGAGGAAATTCTGATTCTGAATCAGAGTCGCTGTGCTGCTGGAGAAAGAAAAAAGAATTGTCACCTTTTCCTCTTATTCTAAGAAAACATTTAGCAACACCAGGGATCCCTGGGGAAAATGTAAGGTTCACATGCTCTGGGTGTCACACAGTGATGGGATTCAAAAAAAATTACTACCAGTTCTATGGGCGTGGCTTGCTCGGTCATGTAACTGTGGGTGTGACTTGGTTGTCATGTGATTTAAAACATGCTTAAAGAAATTTCATTTTTTTTCCTGAACTCGCACAGTTGCAGCATGAATCCAAAAAATCCAAAAAAGTGTGTTGAAGTTAATGTATTCCTGGCAAGCACTACATGTGCACTGACATGCATTCTGAGCACTGCACACGGTCTCCGAATTCAGTTCACTGTATGAATGTACAATCCATCAGAATTTACAACAAGAATCTGATGAAAGTGTGGAGTGTCCCAGTGGAATTGTATCTTACAGAAAACAAAGCATACTTCACCTGTCCATCAGTGTCAGATGACCAGCCATGGGTTCCAGAAGCCGTTGTAAAAGTCCGCGAATCTGATTCTCGGCGCACTCCACTCAGAACATAGCGCCAAGCTCTACTATTGCGCATACGTCGCGCCATGGCCTCTTTGGAGAGGTAATCTGGAAGGCAAAGCAAGATCTTACTCACAATGCCCTCTTCAAATGAATTGTCTCAATGTGCAATATTTTTTCCTTCAGATAAACATTACATATTAAGATATATACTGTGCAGAGAGAGAGAAGATATAGTAAGCTATATTCGTAGGGAAAAAAACAATTGAATCTCCACTTATCAGCTAGTGCCAATTTTATCGCCCTAGACTTAAAGAGGGAACATGCACTTCACCACAAAAAAGCATAGGAAATATGATAGTAAATAATCTTTGGCCAAGATGAATGAGATCAAAACCAACAGGAACAGAAAAAATAGAATCTTAGAATACCGTTTCTAAACTGGCTTGAAATAACCCACAATGTTTTAAGCCAATTCTCAGGTGTTTTTTTTTCCCCTTCCATCAAAATTCTTCTTCAGTAGAAGAGAAGCCATAAAATACACAGACAAAGGCAGGAAATAAGACAGCTGTTCTTAAATAAGTTGGACTTATAGTAGTTTGTTAAGGACATTGGATCAATTACTGACTTCAGTAAGCAGGGAAATGACCATATGTATTAATGTCCAGCTTATTACAATACTCCCCCATCTATTTCAGAGCTCAATCAATCCAACTCAAAAATTTCAAAGCATATTTTTTTCTATTCTCAGTCCATAGTAGCAGTGATATGGCTCAGCAAGTAACTACTACCCTAACCATTCCTGCATGTGTAAAAACACCCCCATACTTACTAATGTTTACATTTTCTAGGACTCCTCACTTCCAGTCAATTCACAATGATAGCAGAGAGAGACCTAAATGTTACTTGAGCTAAGGAGTACTCAATATTTAATGTTCCTAGATCTGCCTAACACAAGCATCATATAACGAACAGCAAACCTTATGATTAAAGTAATACATTTAATCATACATTCTGCTAGACAGCTCAACTGAGCTGCCTCAGGAGAAGATTACTGCAAACATTCCAGTGTATGTGAAGGCAGTAGTTTTAAAAACTAGGGTGGGAAGGTGTCCAAGCAGAAAATGAGCTAAACACAAACAACAAATACTAAGTATACTAAAGCAAATTCAAAGGCATCAGTTGTCTAATATTTGAATCAGCTCCTCCAAAACTGCCTTTCACTGTAAGAAAACTTATTACCAAAAGGAAAAAGCTTGAATATGAATGGGGAAAGAAAAAGATAACAGAATAGAATAGAGTAGAATAGAATAACAGAGTTGGAAGAGACCTTGGAGGTTTTCTAGGCAGGAAACTCTACACCACTTCAAACAAATGGTTATAAAAACTTCCAGGGTTGGAACGTTCACAATTTCTGAAAGCAAGTTGTTCCACTGATTAATTGTTCTAATTGTCAGGAAATTTCTTAGATTTTGATAATTCTAAAATGGGCATTTCAGGCTCTCCAGATTTATAATCTAACTAGCATGTCTTCAGAATGTCAAAAGATAGTCATCAACCTTAGTCAAGAAAGCAAGACAAGGTTTAGCATTACAGAACAAACAAAAAACTATTAAGGATATGGACAGTTTTCCTCTTATTTTTAAAAAAAACCTTAGGTTAGTATCTTTTTTTAATATCTCACCCTTCCTTTGGAAGCTTAAGAGTGCATACCACTCCTTCCTCCCATTTTTTCCCATAACAATGCTGGGTGATAAGCTGGGTGAGGGAGAGTCTTTCGGAGCTTCTGTGAACAGATGTACAGGATATTTTCTTTGATAACCGCTTTTTTTATTTCTGGAACCACCATCAACAATGACTTCCATATGCAAACAAATGCAAAAGAATGGAAATCAGCCAGGCTTTGCATATATTTGCTGCAGAAAACATGAAGTCACCACCAATTGCAAAGAAAACTTCTGTTTACAAAATACGGGTTTTATTATTTATTTTAGTCCTCGCTTGAAAGGCAATATTCTCACAACTTGTTTCAAACCCAGCTGTAGAGAACTTCCTTGCACATTGGGAGCAGAATATGAAGCAGTTTTAACAGTGAAAATGAGAAAACAAGAAACAAGCACATCTCTAAGCACATATCCAACCCTGGGAGTTTTTCAGTGAGAGATTGGACATCCACCTGTATGAAATGAGCAGGGGGTTGGACCACCAGAAGAACCTCCAAGGTCTCTTTTAACTCGATTATTTTCTTTGGAAATAGAATAACAAACTACCAAAGAGAATTATCAGCTCAAAGTATTTCATACTATCCCCATCCTATATATTTTTTTTCTCCAAAATCTTGGAAAGTAATATTGAGATTCAGAATCCCAACAGTCTTTTCCCTCCCTGGTGCCTTGCCAAGTCCACACTTAAACTATCCATGAAAAATCATTTCTAAGGAGACTTCAGCTTCCCTGCTCAGCTTTTTTTAAATTATTCTTCTTCAAATCCACATCCTCTGTTGAAGCAGGATAATAAAAAGACCACCACTACTTGGAGGAGTATTAAATCAAAACCTTAAATAACTTTAAGGTTAAGCATTTCAACGCACTTTGGGGGGGGGGGCAGCTGCCTCCTTTTGTGTTAACTTCAATGTCCAAAGGCCTTTATTGTCATTGTACATCATGTATACAACAAAATTGGTTTAGCCTCTAAATTGGTGTGGTCCATACAAGAATACAATATGAATAACATAAAATATAATACAACTATATATACAATATATTGTACACAATATATATAATCTGAGAAGCCAGGGATGGAAGAGCAGCACACAATTAATAAAATTGCTGTAATTGTCCCAAAGAATGAGGAGGAGGAGTAACCTGAAGGGAAAGAAGGCAGAGGGGAGGAAAAGCATTAACAAGAAAGAAAGAAAGAAAGAAAGAAAGAGAGAGAGAGAGAGATGAGGGAGGAAGGGAAAGAAAGAAAGAAAGAAAGAAAGAAAGAAAGAAAGAAAGAAAGAA